AAAAAAAATAAATAAATAAAAAAAATAAAAAAAATAAAAAAAACACCATGAATATATGTATGTACTTTCTAAGAATTTCTCTGGAAAGATATGAGATTGATAACACTGGCTGCCTCAAGAGAGGTGAATTACAATGCAAACAAACCAACTGTAAAGATACCAAGCAACTGGAAAATCTGAATATGGACTAAGAATTCATTGATACTATAAATTTTGTTATAGGTGTGACAAAGGTATAATTCCCCCCACCCCGCCCAGTGGACAGAGTCTCACTCTGTCACCCAGGCTGGAGTGCAGGAGCATGATCTTGGCTCACTGCAACCTCCTCCTCCTGGGTTCAAGTGGTTCTCCTGCCTCAGCCTCCCATGTACCTGGGACTACAGGCACACCACCACACCTGGCTAATTTTTTCGTATTTTTCGTAGAGATGGAGATTTGCCATGCTGGCCAGGCTGGTCTCAAACTCCTGACCTCAAGTCATCTGCCTGCCTCGGCTCCCAAAGTGCTGGGATTATAGGAGTGAGCCACCACCCCTAGTCAATAGTCTTATTTTTTTAAAGGTGTCTTTCTCAGAGAAACATACTAGACTATGTATAGGTGAAATGAGCAGATGTCTGGGATTTCACTTTTTAAATTCCAGATTGAAAAGCAAAAAAAAGAGTACGAGGCGAGAGAGATGAAATTAGAAAGACAAAATGATACCTTTATGTATTTTTGAAATTTTCCATAATAAAAAATTGTTTCAAAAAACAACTGAACAGGTGGCCAGGGCAAGGGTGAGGGAGAAATTTCACCACACATCTTTTTGTAACTTTTGAATGATAATATACTTATATTACCTTTTGAAATAAAAGTTTTAATATTGCCAACATCTAACATATTAGAGTTAATAAACTAAGTATTAACCAAAACATAATAGTACGTTTCTTCCCACAAAAATTAAGAGAGAATTAAAGACCCTGAGCACCGTGCTGTTCAATAACTCAAGGTGTAGGTGTGCAGACCAGGATGGCTACACGAGACAGGAAGAAAGCAAAGGAAGGAACTCAAAAATGCTAGTAATTAAAATACAGACAGTGGAGTTTCCATTTTATGCTAGAAGCAATGGATAGCCATTTAAAATTTCTCTTTTGATAAGTCTTAACTTTGATGAAGTCCAATATATTCATTTTTTCTTTTATAGTCGTGTCTTCTCTTAGAAATCTTCGCATATGCCAATGTTGTAAATAGATTCACCTATTTTTTTCTAGAAGGTTTATAGTTTTAACATGTCCATTTCTAACTATGAAATGAACAGGACTGATAATCTGGCCTATCAGTTTATAAGTTTTAGAATTAAAGACCTGGTTATTTACGGTCGTAAATTATGATAAATGAACAGAACTAACAGTATTTGGTGTGTGGTAGGTCAAAAAGATTAACACAACATTATGCCGGTGAATTTCCAGCTCCGGGCTTGTTTATTCATCTATGACATTATCACGGTCTTTTCTAGGAAGCCTTTACTAGTAAGAAAAGAACTGTTATCTTCTACTTTTTAAAACTCAGACTACAGAAGACATTCCTGATGCACTGTCTCAGACAGATTATTTGCTGAATGAATGAATGATGGATTGATACAGTTTTGCTATGACATAAGAAATAACAGATTCTTACAAGATTGTCACCTTTACTAACTTACATGAATATAACAAAGAGCTAGCATACCTGTATTTCTTCACGTTCCTTTTTATCTGGAAAAGTTCTTGCAGCTGTAGAATACTTTTCAAAAACTTTACGTTCCTTTTGTAGCTTCCTCATTTCCTCCTTTTTAAACTCTTCTATTCGAGCTAATTCTTTTGCTTTCTGTTGTTCAAAGTCTGCAATTTCTTTCCTAAAATGACCAGATTATGTTATCACCTAAGGAGACCATCTTGGTGCAGCGATGTGCAGAACCTGCTGACAGGCTAGTAACTGCTAGTCCCGGTGAATTCATCTTCAATCCAGAGGCCTGAAATAACAGCCAATCCACTCACCAAAGCATTCGTCCAACAAGCATTCACTGGGTGCCTACGATGAATCAGGCATTCTACAAGGAAGTGAGGAAACCACAGGGAAAAAAACAAACATTCTAGCTGGCACAGTGGTTTATGCCTGTAATCCCAAAACTGGGAGGCTGAGGCAGGCCTGAGTCCAGGAATTCAAGGTTGCAGTGAGCTGTGATCGCCTGGGCAACAGAGACAGACTCTGTCTCAAAAAAAAAAAAAAAAAAAAATTATTCCCATGCAGCTTCTTACATTCTAAAGGAAGACAGATGATAATAAAGAAGGTAAATAAGTACATGGAATATTAGAAGCATTAAAGAGAAATAAAGCAAGGCAGAAGTTTAGGAAATATCAGAATGGGAGGGTGAAACTGTACGTGAGGCTTATCCAGCTGAGATAATATGAGGGGTTCTCTTGCTGAGATAACATGAAGGAAACCTGAAGAGAATGAGAGAGGCGGTCACAAGGGTGTCCACACACAGCAGTGCAGGCAGAGGGTGCGGAATGAGAGAGGCGGTCACAAGGGTGTCCACACACAGCAGTGCAGGCAGAGGGTGCGGCAAGTGCCAAAGCCCTGAGGCAGAAATGTGGCTGAGGTGTTCAAAGAACAGCCAGGAGGCCAGTGTGGCTAAAACAGAGTGAGCAAAGGATGGGTAGCAGGAGAAGGTGTCAAAAAAGGAGACAGCCCAGGCACGGTGGCTCACTCCTGTAATCCCAGCACTTTGGGAGGCCGAGGCGGGCAGATCAGGTCAGCAGCTGGACCTGAGGTCAGTTCGAGACCAGCCTGACCAACATGGAGAAACCCCCGTCTCTCCTGAAAATACAAGATTAGCCGGGCATGGTGGTACATGCCTGTAATCCCAGCTACTCAAGAGGCTGAGGCAGGAGAATCGCTTGAACCTGGGAGGTGGAGGTTGCAGTGAGCCGAGCTCAGGCCATTGCACTCCAGCCTGGGCAACAAGAGTGAAACTACATCTCCAAAAAAAAAAGGAGGTGGCCTTGATCAGATGAACTGCCCAAACACAGGCTGGCTATGGATGTGTGTGAAGGGCACAGACATGGGCAGCAGAGAGACCTACTAGGAAACGATTTTAATAACCAGGGAAAGCCAGTGGGGCCCTGGTCGAGTGGCAGCTCTGAGGCAGTGAAGCAGTCGGGTTAGAAACGGACTGAGAGAGCAAGAGAAGACTCAAGCACGACTCCAAGATTTTCCACTGGCCAAATGAAGAGCAGACTCTCATGCTGAGACAGGGAAGAAGAAGAGAAAAGTAAGTTCAGGAGGGAATGTCAGGAGCTCACTTTTTCTAAATGATCAATTTAAACATTCATCAGCTCTCCAGGTAGAGACAACAATAAGGCAGTGGGATAGGAGATGTGGGTGAGAGATCTGGATCTGGGGCATAACAGCATTGAAAGCCTCGAGACTGGACAAGTCTCTCCCTGCCTCACTGGAGGGACAGCAGACAGATGAGGTAAAAGATCCTCTTACTGACTAAACATGCAAAAGGTCGACAGTGTGCACACAATCATACAGTCAAAGCAAACACTGGGGGAGGAATACTTGTGGCACATTTGAGAAAGTTTAGTATCCTGAAAAATGAGCAAAGAAAGTTACGAAATAAACACAAATGACCGCTAAATATTAAAGCACGGTCAACTTTATCAATAATCAAAGAAATGCAAACTTCAGCAGGTGAAAGATGGTATAATTACCAGGTTGGCAAGATTTGAAAGACTGCTAACGCTCAACTCCAGTGATGGGGAAAGGGGTGAGAAGAAGCCTCAGATGCTGACTGGGGCAACAGACATTCTTAAAATTTATCACAAGGAAGTATATTTTTTAAATAGAAAGTGCCTCATACATATGATGATATTCCCCGCAGAATGATTTGTAATAGTGAAAAATTCTAAACAAGCTAAATTTCCACTAACAGATTAGTCACAGTAGCATTAATACAATACAGTCATTTCAAGGATACAGAAGACTAGGGTGTGCTAATAGGGTAAGATGTCTATTACGTTGTTAAAATAAAAAGCAGAGCTGGACATGGTGGCTCATGCCTGTAATCCCAGAAATTTAGGAGCCCAAGGCGGGAGGATCACTTGAGCCCAGGAGTTCAAGACCAGCCTGGGGAACATGGCAAAACTCCGTACCTACCAAAAATACAAAAATTATCTGGGCGTGGTGGCGCATGCCTGTCAGGAGGCTGAGGTGGAGGATGGGTTGAGCCCAGGAGGCAGAGGTTGCAGTGAGCCAAGATTGTACCACTGCACTCCAATTTGGGTGACAAAGCCAGATGCTGTCTCAAAAAAATAAAAATAAAATAAAAAGCAGATTAAAGACCCCATACAGTAGAGTTCAGGGCTCTACTGAACCGCACTGCCTAGGCTGCCACTGAGGCTCTGTCACTGAGGCTCTGTCACTAAGGAGGTAAACTTAAAAAACTTTCTTCTCAGTGCATCAGTTTCCTCGTCTGTAAGTTGGGAAGAATAACACAATGTCTAAATTTGAGGACTGAATTTTTCTTGGAACAAAGCAAAACTGACATAGACAAAATGCTTAAAAAAAAAACACACAAAAAAACAAAAAAAACCCAGCCATTATCTTATGATTTAAATGTTCTTTAAAAGAAAAAGGTCCATTTTGAAATAATGAAGTAGAGACTTTTTTTTGTTTGTTTGTTTTGAGACAGAGTCTCGCTCCGTCGCCCAGGCTGGAGTGCAGTGGCCGGATCTCAGCTCACTGCAAGCTCCGCCTCCTAGGTTCACACCATTCTCCTGCCTCAGCCTCCCGAATAGCTGGGACTACAGGCGCCGCCACCTCACCCGGCTAGTTTTTTGTATTTTTTTAGTAGAGACGGGGTTTCACCATGTTAGCCAGGGTGGTCTCGATCTCCTGACCTCGTGATCCGCCCGTCTCGGCCTCCCAAAGTAGAGACATTTATTTAAAAGTCATCTTGGGTGGAGAAGGGATTGGAATAAGTTCCACGTTTTACCCATCACTACTATAATAAGTATATATTTACAGTATGTGTCAGCAGAAAAACAAAGATGTTTCAATTAAAAAATAACAAATTTTCAGAATTTGATTTTTAAGCATAGTGCAGAATACAGTATAGTAACTGAATTTCCTTTTTAAGTGGATTAATAGCTCTCTATAACCCTTTATGTGGAACTTATGGGCCAGGTGTGCTTTAGAATTCCTATTTTTCAGGTTTTTAGAGAAGAAATACGGAAGAGATGTCAAGGAATATGGTGGAGTAGGAAGCTCCAAAAATCACTCCCTCCACCAAAGCAGCTATTGAACTAGCAGCACCTGTCAGAACCAACCACTTGGGAACTCTGGACACTAACGAAAGCCTTGCAGCGTCCTGGCGAGTGCTGAAGAAGAAAGAGGCTGGGAAATCTGGGCGACTTTCAGCATTTGCATAGCAGCTACCATCTCCTAGATCCAATTCCGCAGCAGGCAGCCATGGGAACTACAGTTGAATGAATTTCTCCTCAAACGTTAAAGTAACAAAACCAAAAAACAAAGAAATACAGTGTGCATGTGACATATAATATCCCCAACAAGACCCAGAGCAACATCTGGAATAAAAAGTATTGGTGTTTCTGCAATAGGACTTAGTACTATTCACAAGTACAATTTAAAAATGCCTACATAAAATGTATATATGTAATAGAAATAATAAATATATATAAATAGTCTCATGTAAGTTCAGTTCAAGTTTCGCTAACCAATAAGGTCAGGTGAGACCATGACCTAGGGTAGGAAACGATATGTCCTACTATTGACTGCTGTAGGTGGAGCTGTGTCCTCGAAAATAATATGTTGAAGTCCTAATCCCTGTGAAGGTGACCTTATTGGAAATAGGGCCTTTGGAGATACAAGTAAGATGCCAGTTAAGATGAGGTTATACTGGAGTAGGGTGGGCCCTTAATCCAACATGACCCTATCCTTAGAAGAGGCACCAAGACAGACACACACACAGACGGGAATGCCATGTGAAGACACGGACAGAGGGAAGATGGCTGTGTGACCACAGAGGCGGAGACTGGCGTGATGTAGCTGCAATCCAAGAAATACCAAGGAGTGCCCCAAACCACCAGAAGCTGGACGAGCCAGCATGGCCCGCCTGGCTGGTGCATGGACTTTGGACTTACAGCCTCCAGAACCACAGGAATATACATTTCTGTTGTTTAAAACCACCTAGGTGGGAGTACCTCGTTACAGCAGCCCAGAGAAACCAACACACTAACTAGGGAAGGTACCACAGCTCCAAACTGCTTTTCAAATGTTAATATATGCTCTCTCCACTAAGAAAATTCCCCTTCGTACACATCATTGACTACACTGGGTCCTTTTATTCAGTAAAAAAACGTATAACAGATTTCGCCTCCTTTTCAGTTACATTTGCTGGATTGATTTAAAATGTTTCAGACTGTTTACAGATGGTCTTAAAGGAATAACTGAATCACTGCGTATTTTTTCCCAACTTACAGACCCAAACGTACCTGAGTTTTTCCAAGGCACTTTCTCGTTCAATGCGAAGTTTAGCTAAAGATGCGTTCTCGGCTTTAAACTTTTCTATTTCTGTTTCCAATTCAATAATTTTCTCTCTCAAAACGTGGGATCGAGCATTGTCACCTATGAAATAGGCCATAAATACTGAACTTCACGAAAGGCCTTACTGCAGCAAAAACACCAACTAGCTAGTAACACTAAGAACCAAGAATATGGCAAACATCTGTGCCATTAAAATGCATTAGAAACAATGCTTCAAATATGAAAAGGAAAAATATTAAACCTAACTTTCCTGAGGAAATCAGTGTGTATTTATGAATTAATCTACCTGAAAAGAGTATTGACCTGATAAGGAATCAACATGATACACAAAAAGAAATCATTCAAATCCATTTTTAAAAGACCGATATATATAAATAGCTTAAGAACATGAATAAGTAATCCACAAAAGATCTAAAGCTTAATCAACACCAAAATCAGTTTACCCCCTACTACTAATCAAATAAAAGCAAATTAAGATTTTTTCCCTTTATCAAATTTGCTATTTAAAATGTAAAATAGCCAGTGCTTCTGTTCTTCAATTCAAAGAAGCATTTCATCAGTTAGTACTTTTTTAGAAAAGAAATGTGATCCACAAGGCTAAAGGAATGAGGCAAGTCATAAACTCCGTCATATTAAAACTACATAGAAAAAATGACTGGAAGGAAATATCCCAAAATGGCATAGCAGTCACTTTTGGGTAGTTAAGTTGTAAATATTTTTGCTTCTATATTTTTTAAGCTTCCAAACTTTGTACAAAAAAAATTACTTTTAAAATCAGAGTTTTTGAAAAATAATGTTATAATTTCTATTTTAAAGCACCTATGCTCTGCTAGGCAGTCAGAGTTTATAATACAATATAATGGAAAGGAATCTTTCAGCGTGAGTTTAAAAAGTTTGTTACATCAACAGAAACACTACACATCTATTAAATGGAATGAGGAAGATGTGTATATGCGTTAGAACAATCTTAAAAATTTATCATAAGCAAGGTGCAGGACAGTACGCAAAAAGCATATTTTCGTTTGTATAGAAAGGTAATTATACACAAACTGACACATATGCTTTTTTATGCATGGACTCTTTAGAATACACACATGAAATGGTAATACTGGTACCTCTAAGAAGGGGCACTTGAACCAGGTCTGGGGAAGAATGGAAACGTAGAAGCTTTGATGTTCTCTCACTTTATTAAAAAGTAATTAATTTTAAAGCATTATATCGACCCACAAAATAAATCAAATTTTTACAATCACCCATTAATTTGACTTCTATTGAGCAATAAGGAAAGTTAGGATTTTACGTATTCTGACAGCATACCGAGAAATGTTAACTTTCTAACATTCCGATACATATTTTATAATGCTCTGACTCACCAGGTGGTTGGTCTTGACTTATGTTTAACTTGGGTTCAGTTCCCAAGTGTGAATCTGACTTCGGTTTTGGTTTCAAAGCAGGAAAGAATTTCATCATCAGCTGCGACGTAGGAGGAGGACTTCCGCTCCTCCTGGACTTGCTCAAGTCTTCTCCCCTCTTGACTGGTGCAATCTTCCTTTTTATTGTTTTGTCCAGGACACCTATTTCATTATTAGGGTAGCATGTCTGCGGCGTCCCGTAAGTGGACTCATTCCCCAGAGTAACGTCATGATTACACATGTTCTCTTCAAGGTCAGTCCAAGTTCTCTCGTCGTCAAAGTCCATTTTACTCATACTTAGGGGTGAGGGTCTTGCGGGCTCAGACGCTTTGTGTTTTACGCTTTCTAGGACAGACTCATCGCTACCGTCATCTTTATCAGACAAATCCAGATCGACGTCTCTCCTTTTATCTTCTTGGGCCCCGGTGTCCTTAAAAGGCCCCTTACCATCACAGACGTGTGGGCTGTCCTCTCTGCTGCTGAAGCCCCTTTCTCTATCCTCAGTTGAGGGTTTTATGGTAATATCAAGCTGTTCCTCAGAGTCACTGCTACTGTCACTGTTCAGAACACCTTCATCGTCACCTGCATTCCATTCCGTTTGATTTTCAGAAGTGCTCTTTTGGACGGCTTTCCTACTGATTTTACAAGGCTGTTCCCTCGATTCATCATCTGAGGACAGTGAACGGAGTTGTTTGGGTGTGACTTCACACTCACCGTCCTTCTCACGTGCAGTGTGGTCCAAACCCTCACCGCGGCTACACTGACTAACGGGATCTGCCGGATTTGTCTTCTGTGGCGCAGCTTTGACAGGGGTGGAAGACATCCGGTGACCTTTGCAGATCTGTTGATCCCTTTCTAAGATTTTCAGTACAAATGAGGAATTACTAGAAAATGATATTTCATCAGCAGCTTGTTCTAAAAACAAAAATTCATCTAATTCCAAATTTTCCTTTTCCTTTTCTCGTTCCCAAGTCTCTAACGTTTTCTGAAGAGAAACATCAAGAGAAGATTCAGACTCTTTCATGGTCTCCCTCATGGGGCTCTTGGAAGCCAGGCGGCTGGCCGGCCCCGCTGAAAGAGGAGGTCCGTCTTTACCTGGCGTCTTATTCCACCCTGTGCAGCCAGCCTCGCAAGGTTTTCGACTCTCAGGCACATTTTCTTTATTATTAGATGCGACTCTTTTATCAAATTTGATCTGGTCTCTACATTGCCCGTCGCATTTCTTCCCTGTGTGTATTTTCAGTCCTGATGGAGAAAGAGTTTTCCTGTCACTACACTTCAGCACTTTCGGCTTCTGACTGAGGGCGACAGAACCACTCTTGGTTCCAGCTTTACTCTCCTTTCTCAGGGCAGGGTGGTCTGCACACGGCTCCTTATTTATGAGAGCGGTTTTCCGCTGGAGTTGCTGTCTATCCATTTTAAATAGCGGCTGGTCCTCGGAAGGGCTCTGGTTAGTCACTAGTTTACTTTCTTTCCCTTTTTGAAACTTAGATTTAGCATTAGTAAATCTGGCTAAACCTTCTCCTCGTTTTAAAAATGGTTTCTTTGGTTTTGCTTTGATTGGCAGTGGTCCTTCTGCTTCCTAAAATATAAAATAATAATATTTGAATTAATTTTGGTATATCCAAGTCATCTCAAAGTTATTTTTAAGGCAAATTATAGATAAATCTCTAAAGCCTTAGAACGATTTAATCAGAAGAGCACAATTGCTCACCCTCAGCTGTTTTTGCTTCAGTTCTTGCTCTTCCAACCGAATTTGTTCTTCTAAGTAGTCTTCAAAGGTCTGCTTCCTTTCTCTAATAGCAGCTTTAATGGGCCTAGTTAGAAACACAAAGTTATTTAACATGCAAATCATAATGTGTGAATATTTTACACTTAGTGTACCTGGTATAGAAACCCTTGACAACACGGAGAACTAACTTTCCCAAAATCAGCGCCTCCCTTTGAGAAGCTAACAAAAGCCACAATCCCTCTCCACCCCTTAAAATACAGAAACACACAACACTCTTCACATGACTCCGGAGTCCTGAGAACCCTTCTGAAGTCCATCTGTCGACTACAGATTAACACATGGAGTAACACATTCAGCAAATAACTTTAAAATGTATTTCAAAAATAGATCACTAAACATGCATTTTTTTAATTAAGAAAGGCCCTTAATGTGAGTAGAGTAATAATCAGAAAAGTCATTTTGTCCATATCATTATATTCAAAAATGTTGAAATACATTTTTTAAATAACTTACTTAAATGATAAAATACTTTATCTTTGCCATATTTTAAAATTCTGTAACTAAATTATGCAATTATAATTAATAAGTGACACCAAATGGGAGATGTCAATACTTAATTTTTCCCTTCTCCAAAAATAGGATTTAACTATTTGAGAGAAAATTGATTTTATCCAGATGTTTCTCTTAAGTGAAAAAGCTTTGACAACACAATGTCAAAGCAGCTTTAACTGACATATCTCCCTACCTCCTTTGCTGTTGACAGTACATAAGAGGTTGTATCTTTAACCTTATACTTTAAAGCATCGTCAAGCAGAAACAAGCAAAGTACAGATCTTTCAAACAAGTGTTCAATAACAAAGGCTAGCTGTTTACTAAATAGTCACATTTCTCACTTTCAACATGAACAATACCTTTCTTCAATATTAGCCACTTCTGAGGAATCATCATGTTTTTTTAAGTTCTGAACATTAGCTTCCTGAATTTGTTCTGTCATTTTCTCCCAACATAAAATACTTTCTCCTGAGATAAAAATTAGGAACAATTTAGCTCAAGAAAAGCATATTAATGTCTTAAAACATGAAAATTTTACAAGTTACTGTGCTAAAAAATTTTTTAATTAAAAGTGATGTATGTCAAATATTTTACAACACTCAAGGAATTCTTTAATATAATTAAAAGAAACTACAAAACTGCAATTAAGACACCTGAGGTCGGGTGTGGTGGATCACACCTGTAATCCTAGCACTTTGGCCAAGGCGGGAGAATAGCTTGAGGCCAGGAATTTGAGACCAGCCTGGTCAACACAGCAAAACCCCACATCTACAAAAATAAAAAAAAAAATTAGCCAGGTATGGTGGCACATGCCTGTAATCCCAGCTACTTGGGAGGCTGAGAGCAAGCAAAGGTTGCAATAAGCCAACATGGTGCCACTGTACTCCAACCGAGGTGACACAGCAAGACCTTGTCTCAAAAATAAAATAAAGACACTTGACATTCTTCAAAAGGTTAATGTCACGAGGAAAAAAAGTGTGGGCTTTTCTAGAGATTAAAAAGACTAGGCCAGGCGCGGCGGCTCAAGCCTGTAATCCCAGCACTTCGGGAGGCCGAGACGGGCGGATCATGAGGTCAGAAGATCGAGACCATCCTGGCTAACACGGTGAAACCTCGTCTCTACTAAAAAATACAAAAAACTAGCCGGGTGAGGTGGCGGGCGCCTGTAGTCCCAGCTACTCGGGAGGCTGAGGCAGGAGAATGGCGTCAACCCGGGAGGCGGAGCTTGCAGTGAGCTGAGATCCGGCCACTGCACTCCAGCCTGGGTGACAGAGCGAGACTCCGTCTCAAGAAAAAAAAAGACTAAAGAGTTATAAGAATCAAGCATAATACATGAACTTGACTGGATATGCATGAATCTGATTGGATCCTTTAAAAAAAAGCACCTTTAAAAGGCATTTTGGGATAACTGCGGGAATTCCAAAACGAACTTGAATATTAAGGAATTATCATTAATTTCTTTAGATATAATAATAGCACTGTGGTTAAACAGATGTCCTAATTTTTACTTGATGCATACTGAAATATTTGGAACGAAGTAACAAGATACCTGCATATTATTTTCACTGAAATGGTTCAGCAAATTATACACAAATAGAGGTAAAGATAAGGATATACATATAGAAGATATATACACACACATACATACATTGATAGAGTAAATACAGTAAAATATTAACCACTGTATCCAGGTGGTGGGTATATCAGTAATCACTGCAGTGGTCTTTCAACTTTTTTAGATGTTTGAAATTTTCCAAAACAAAAGGCTAGGGAAGCATGTTGTGTAAAAAAGAAGAAAAACATATGTGAGCTTTCCACACCGCTGAATTAACTCTAAATTAGGAACAAGGCATGAAGGCTGGGTGCAGTAGCTCAGATCTGTAATCCCAGCACTTTGGGAGGCCAAGGCAGGCAGATCACTTGAGGCCAGGAGTTTGAGACTAGCCTGGCCAAGACGGTGAAACCCCATCTCTACTAAAAACACACAAAATTATTGGGGCATGGTGGTGCATACTTGTAATCCTAGCTACTTGGGAGGCTGAGACACGAGAATCACTTGAACCCTAGAGGCAGAGGTTGCAGTGAGCCGAGATTGTGCCACTGCACTCCAGCCTGGGTGACAGAGCGAGACTCTGAATCCAAAAAAAAAAAAAAACACGCCACAGGGGACAAGAAAAAAATAACCACACAGAGCTATCAGGGTAGCATGTGCCTATAGTCCCAGCTACCTCAGGGGCTGACCGGGGAGGATTACTTGTGCCTAGGAGTCTGAGTCCAGCCTGAACAACACGGCAAGACTCCATCTTTGAAAAAATAATTTTTAAAGAAAAACCACGGAAAGGCTTGATCTTAGGACAACTTAGTAACACTGTAAGTACAGAAGAGGGAAACACAAGTAGCTCACCTGTAGGATGGTTACGGTTTTCTTCTTTTAAATTACTTTTTTCCACAGGTGCTTCTTGACACTGTGCCTCAGAAAATAAATTAGGAGAAGCACGTTTTGAAGTTAAGACAAAATCTCCATGAGCAGTTCTACAGAAGTTGCTTTGCTCATGGGATAAAATGTTGGAAGCGCATGTTTCTTCCTGGGTTGGGTCTGGGTAGACATACGATGGGAGGCAGCGTGTGGCTCTCTCTCCAGTGGTGGCATTTCCTGGAGATCTGTGCTTCTGGCTCTGATCATCAGGCAGTACACTCAAACCTTGCAATTAAGAAAAGCAACAAAGCTGATGACTTCCTTCAACATTTTCTTTTCTCCCCAGTAGTGACCCCACCCTACAAAGGCTTCTCCGCAGTGATAAAAGTATCTTTTCCCTTTATTAGGAAATGGTGATTAACAAAACCATTGATTGATTGAGACAGTCTCGCTCTGTCACCCAGGCTGAAGTGCAGTGGTGCGATCTCAGCTCACTGCAACCTCCACCTCTTGGGTTCAAGTGATTCTCGTGCCTCAGCCTTCTGAGTAGCTGGCATTACAGGCGTGTGCTACCACGCCCAGCTAATTTTTTATATTTTTAGTACAGAGGGGGTTTCACCTTGTTGGCCAGGCTGGTCTTGAACTCCAGACCTCAGGTGATCCGCTGACCTTGGCCTCCCAAAGTGCTGGGATTACAGGCATGAGCCACCATGTCTAGCCTGTTTTAATCTCTAATACAGTAAAAGTTATTGATAAATACAGCCCATATAGCAAAAGTTATTTGGGGCTCTCAAAAATTTAAGAATCCTAAGGGGTCCCAAGACTAAAATATTTGAAAACCACCGCCCCAAAGCAAACCGCTCCGTGACCGAATGAGGCTAGTTCTTACATAAGTAACTGTGAAATCAGCTTTCCTGTCATTCTGTCATAGTGCTGGTTCTACCTTTAAAAGTATCACAGCTGTTATTTACGTGATTTTGATTATTCTTTGTATGTATTCCATAAAGAAACCCTAAGCCATTCAACTATTTTAAGGCAATGTTTTCTATATTCTGAGATAAACATCCAAATTCCCTAAACCATTGTTCATGTGCTACAATTCTCACAACCACGCCCCACCCGACCCCTGCACCCTACCTCACTCACTTGCCAAGTCTTCTTTTTCTTGTATTCTCAATGCCCAGCACAATCTCTGAGCAGAACAGGTGCTTTCCTGGGTCAGTAAAGCATATTTCTTAAAAGTAGCACCAAGAAGCAAAGCAAACACATGGCTCCAACCTCAGTTTTTTTCAAACTGTGGGACACAATCTATAATTCTGTCATCAGATGTAGCATTTTTAAAAATGATGTAGAATTAGAATAAACAAGATAGAAAATGTCCTCACTACATACCAGGAACACCAATAAGGACTGATGACATGAAATTGCTGTCATTATGAGTCACCATTTTAAACATTTTTACCACTACAGAGTGTGGTCAAGACACTTTCAAACCACTGCTCCAGGTCACATTTCCAGTTTTCTTTCCTGATTGGCACATGATGCTTTCCGTTAACTGACAGGTCACACAACAGGATACTGTCATCTCTACCCCAGAAAGTATCTTTGGTGTGGTTCTTCAGGTGAACAGAGTGGCTTCTACGTATGTTTACCTTTATGACACCCAACAGCTTTCATTCATCAGGCAGGGGTTGGATACCAGTAGTAGCTCTAGACCAAATCTGACTTTTCTTCTATTGGACCGTTTTTGGGGGGACAGGGTCTCACTCTGTTGCCCCAACTGGAATGCAGTGGTGCCATTATAGCTCACTGCTGCAGCCTCAAATTCCTGGGCTTAAGCAATCCTCCCACCTCAGTCTCCAGAGTAGCTAGGACTGCAGGCATGGACCACCACACCCAGCTCATTTTTTTTTAATGAATAAACATGAATGCCTGAAAGCAGGGCAGGCACACACCAGAATGCCGCAGCTCCTTCTTGTTCCAGTTATATTACAACTCTACCATTTCACATTTATCTGCTTGGCCCTTAAAGAAACTGGAGTTTACAACACGTGATACGGGAACAATAGAAACAACCTGTCAAACAACCACAGGTCAGAAATGTGCGCTGCACGGAGGCTCTGTGCAGGCAAAGCATACCTGGAAGTGTGCACTGCCCAGACACCATGGTGAGCAGCTTCTCTTGTTCTTCCATGAGTCTCTGGAGTTGCTCCATCTGTTGCCTCTTCAATTGTTCCTGCTTCTTCTGTTGTACTTCTTTCAGCTTTTATAATACAAAATTAATTTTATTAAATCAACTTTACATTTCTTCGTGGACGCCTTGTTCCCTTAATTCCTCCCATCTCCCTCCTCCTATCTTTCCTGGCAAGAAGCTTTACACAGGGATCCCTAGGTAACTAAATCAGCCACCAAAAATCTAAAACTCAAATCCTTACGAAGGAAATCACATCAACTATCTCAACTAAGAGACCGAAACAGTCATATAAATCCTTTGATTGTTAAAATAGGATGGGCTTCAGTACATCATCCCAATGATGTACTGTTTTTTTCCCCAATACTTGAACAACCATTTCTTACTTTTTGCCAAATGAGGTAACAACTTAAAGTTATCGTAAGTGCTATAATTATATTTTACATATTAAACACACTTTAATGTTTCACATTAGACAAAGGGCCAAATCTGGTATTCTGAGGATTTCAGAGTAAAGGGGAAAAACAAGAAGACCTGGAACAGATGACTCTATCACATAAACAGAAACCTGCGATGACATAAATCCACAGTAGCCCAAACCCTATTGTACCTGTTCAAGTTTTTTAAAAAGTGGGTCTTTATAAGCCCCTTCTTTGAATTCACTCGCAAGATCTGGGATGAAGTCATTTTTGTTCTCTTCCTGGTGTCCAGGAGCGTCGTGACATGCCACTATCTGTGGTCCCTTTGTAATGCGAGGAAAGCCTGTATGGGTTTCAGATTTATCTGACTGTGGTTTGTAAGGCCTGTTTGACTCCAACTCCTGTTCTTCATGAAGTGAATCTTCTTCATTTATAAAGCTGAAGCTGTCAGAACAATGTGTGCCTTTAACAGGAAAGCTGGTAGAAGTGTCCACAGCTGCTTGCTTCTCTTTGTCTGCTTCCAAAACAGGAAATCCACGATTTAATATGACCCCGGCCCGAGAAGGATTGGTCATCCACTGGGTTAGGAAGTTCTGCCCACTGTTTAACTCTGAAGAGGTTGGCATCAGGAACATCTTAGTCCAATGACACTATATTTAAACAATGCAAAGGCTAGAAGAACTACTGATTTCCAATACCTGTAGACAAAGATAGCCAACAAAATGTATTAGGTAAAGCCATTAGATGTCCTACCCAAAATAAGCCCAAATCTCAACCCAGCATAAAAATGTCCTCAATATTTCATATACAAAAGACCTAAACTAGCAAAGCAACTGGGCATTGAGCTACATTTTTTTTAAGTCTTAAAAATAACCAAATTGAGATCAAAAACCTAAGATCCTTTTTGACCTAAATATTCAATTACTAATGATTTTATACAAGTGCTAGATTAGTTGAACTAAACTATGGAAGATAAAATACCTTAAGTTATTCACTTAAGAAAAAAAAAAAAGCCATTATCAGATATTACCCACACTAAGCACTTTCTTGCTTCTGGCCCTTGTTTAACATTGTTTCTTTGCCCAATTGGTGAACCTGTTTTCTCCCTAGTTCTAGAACAAAAGTTACCACCAGCACCTGTGGCTTTACCTGGCACTGTTACACCTGTGCCTTCCTCTCTCATCTCCCTACTAACACCTCACCCACCAGATAGCCCCTCATCTGTATTCCTAGAGGTAAAATAGTGACGTCACTCTTCTAGCACTTATCTCATTAGTGGTGTTTTGCTTTCACGTTCATTACCAATCTGTGAAGTTCCTTGAAGGTATCTATATATTCACTACTGCCAAGCACCATGTCTGCCAGGTAGGAGAAATGTAATTCTTATGGCATGAGCCAATAAAAATTACATTGGCTCATGCTAGAACTCTGTATGAGTTACCGGACTTTAAAATTAACCAAATTGCTAGTGTAACTTTGTCACCACGTGATAGATATACTTAACTAGGACATCACGGAGAAGACAAGCCTTGCCTCTGTGTGTGTCTGATTTTACTCAGCTAACATTTACTGGGTTCTTACTCTGTGCCAGATACTGTGTACCCCTGGGTACACAGCAGTTCATAAATCAAAGTCTAGTGGGGAAGACACACACACACACACACACACACACACACTCTATACAATATGTTAAACAGAAATAAGTGCAAAGGGGAAAAATAAAAGCCATGTGGGAAAAGGAGGTTGTAAGTTTAGACAGGGTGGACAGGGTCCTCATTTAGAAGGGAAAATTAAGGACCAAGGGAAGGAGAAGGTGCAAGTTGTGCAGCTATCAGGGGCAGGGTAAGACCCAGCCCCTCAGCCTTCCTAACTTTCACCTGCAGGACACTCCCGCTGATACCCCATTCCTCCAGAAACCCCCATCACCATTATCTACCTATCTAAACCTATTCTATCACTCACCACTGGAAGCCCTGAGACCCAAAGCCAGGCTTCACTTCTTACACACTAATCCCCACACCTCACTCTGCTCCATCTCCCAAACATCTGAGCACCAAACACCCACAGTCCATCATCAGCAAAATCCTCATTATCCTCAACTTCTTGTCTGAGCACTCCCTCACCTTCCTGAGAACAGCTGTTTCTATGGAGCCCACACTCCAGTACCACTGAGCCTTGAGACAAAACATATATTCTTTTTTTTTTTTTTTTTTGAGATGGAGTCTGGCTCTGTCGCCCAGGCTGGAGTGAAGTGGCATGATCTTGGCTCACTGCAAGCTCCGCCTCCCGGGTTCATGCCATTCTCCTGCCTCAGCCTCCCGAGTAGCTGGGACTACAGGCGCCCGCCACCTCGCCCGGCTAGTTTTTTGTATTTTTTAGTAGAGACGGGGTTTCACCGTGTTCGCCAGGATGGTCTCGATCTCCTGACCTCGTGATCCGCCCGTCTCGGCCTCCCAAAGTGCTGGGATTACAGGCTTGAGCCACCGCGCCCGGCCAAAACATATATTCTTATTCCTCTTCTCCTTCCAGACTACACTCCTTTTCTAGATCATAAAAAGCAGTTTTACTTGGGAGTTCTGAGGTGGCAGGATCGCCTGAGCCTAGGAGGTCGAGGCTGCTGTAAGCAGCACTCCAACCTGGGCAACAGAGCAAAACCCTATCTCAAAAAATAAATAAATAGGCTGGGCACGGTGGCTCACGCCTGTAATCCCAGCATTTTGGGAGGCCAAGGCAGCCGAATCACGTGAAGTTAGGAGTTTGAGACCAGCCTGGCCAACATGGTGAAACCCCGTTTCTAACAAAAATACAAAAAAATTAGCCGGGTGTCAGGGTGCACGTCTGTAATCCCAGCTACTCAGGAGGCTGAGGTGGGAGAATCGCTTGAACCTGGGAGGCAAAGGCTGCAGTGAACCAAGGTCACACCACTGCACTCCAGCCTGGGCAACAGAGTGAGACCCTATCTCAAAAAACAATACAGAAATAGTAAATTAACAAGCAATTCTGACTCTCATATGACCAAACTACACAATCTACTACCCCTCCTTTATTGTCTACCAACCTCCAGAGATCAATGGCATCTTCTCCCTCATTTCTTAACATTTCCTGGCTGAGCACCTGAAGAACAGATTTGCCATTTACTGAAAGGGGGAAGATGGAGGACGGAACAGGTTTGGGGGAATCAGAGACCAAGAGTTGAATTTAGGAACATTTTAAGATGCCTATGAGACACGCAAGTAGAGACACCATGTCAGCAGCAGCTGGATGCACCAGAATGCAACTCATAGAAGAGGCCAAGGCTGTGAAGCACAAATGTGGACATCCTCAGCATAAAGATGGTATTTAAAGCCTTGACACTGGATGAGATCACTGAGAGATTGAGGGTAGTCAAAAAGAGAGGAGGTGGCCAGGTGCAGTGGCTCATGCCCGTAATCCCAGCACTTTGGGAAGCTGAGGTTGGTGGATTACCTAAGGTCAGGAGTTCGAGACCAGCCTGGCCAACATGGTGAAACCCCATCTCTACTAAAAATAACAAAAAATTAGCTAGGTGTGGTGACGGGAGCCTCTAATCCCAGCTACTCAGGTGGCTGAGACAGGAGAATTGCTTGAACCCAGGAGGCGGAGGTTGCAATAAGCCGAGATTGCGCTATTGTACTCCAGCCTGGGTGACAAGTGCAAGACTTCATTTCAAAAAAAAAAAAAAGGCCGGGCGCGGTGGCTCAAGCCTGTAATCCCAGCACTTTGGGAGGCCGAGACGGGCGGATCACGAGGTCAGGAGATCGAGACCATCCTGGCGAACACGGTGAAACCCCGTCTCTACTAAAAAATACAAAAAACTAGCCGGGCGAGGTGGCGGGCGCCTGTAGTCCCAGCTACTCGGGAGGCTGAGGCAGGAGAACGGCGTCAACCCGGGAGGCGGAGCTTGCAGTGAGCTGAGATCCGGCCACTGCACTCCAGCCTGGGCGACAGAGTGAGACCCTGTCTCAAAAAAAAAAAAAAAAAGCTTGAGTGGAGAGGATGCATGACAGAATAAGAAATTGAAGACAGACAGCTAACACCAGGAGTTCTGTTATAAAAAGAAGGAAATACATAGGAGAAATAAAAGCATGTTTGTAGGCTGATGAAGATGGAGAAAGGGGAGAATTGCTACAGTAATGTTCTGGAGGAGATGGGAAGAGTCTAGTCCCAAAGTGGAATGACATCTCACACTACTTTCCAGACACAATTCTAGACTTTATAAAAAGGGCAATGTGGAGGCAAACAAACATGTATGTCATTTCATACTTGGTGTCTAAAAAACAGAAACATATGAAAAGTATAAACAGAAAAACACCGACGCTGAAACATTAAAATGGCGCACTGTCACTCCACTAAAGACATGGAAATGAAAACAGTAACGACATTACCATTTTTTCTTGCCCTCGGTTGGCAAAGACTGAAAACTGGTAATACCAGTATGAGAAACAGAAACTCTTTTTGGCTTTTGTTTGTTTCTTATCATTTAACTTGAAGAAACTGAGCGATTCTCATCATTTAACCTGAAGAAACGCTGAGGATTCACTGAGCGAATGAACTGGGACAACATTTTGAAGGACAATATGACAATATCTAGCCAACTGTAAATGCAGAGGAACTTTGACTCAGCAACTTCACATCTAGGCATTTTGTCCCACAGTTATACTGGCATAAACTCACATTTGCCAATAAACTGAAAGTAAATGTCCATTAACAGGAGATCAGCTAATCATGGTAATCATATTACACAACTGTTAAAAAGAACAAGTAAGCTCTTTACTGATACAGAAGTAGTGAATATATCCAAGATATGTTGCTAGTTACAAAGTGCACAGCAGTGCGTATTATAAGAAATAAAGACAAAAAAATACAATTACATGGACCTATGCATTTAGTAGTTAGTCACGTGGCTACTGAGCATTTGAAATGTGGCTAATGTGACCGAAGAACTGAATTTTCCATTTTAATTAAAGTTAATTAAATTTAAAAGTGAAGAAGTACAAAACATTTTTCTCTTAAACACTTTATTCTCTTGGTAGGACTACATTTCACTTTAACCACTGCATGGTATAAGATGCTGCTGTACTGAAGCCCGTGTCAGTGTGCATCACCCCCCCAGACTGCAAAGAAACATGTCTGCAATCTCATCAGTGTCAATGGACTGATTCTGTTTGAATAATTTGTTTTCAACACATGGCTGTAACACTGTTAAGTGTTTATTTGAATAGTTTCTGAAAACAGTACAAGTTACGGTGATCTGTTTAAATTGTAATTGGTAATTATCTTGGTCCATTTTCTGCAGCTGTAACAGAATACCAGAGAAGAGACTAGGTAATATATAAAGAAATTTATTTCTCACAGTTCTGGGGCTGGGAAGAACAAGAGCTTGGCATTGGCAACTGGCAAGGGTTGTCCCCACCGGGGAAGAGTAGAAAGGCAAAAAAACAGCCTCTGAGAGAGAGGCTGTCTTTTATAACAAAGCCACCCCTGAAATCAGTAACCTACTTCTGAGATAACAGCATTAATCCATTCATTAGGGTGGAGCCCTCATGACCTAATCACCTTTTACATTTCCCACCTCTCAACACTGTTGCATTGGCAATTAACATTCCAACATGAGTTTTGGGGTGGACATTCAAGTCATAGCAGTAATTAAGTTGAAATATTTAGTATTTTAATTATAGCATAATTATTTTTCTAGTTTGAAAAATAAGTACGAACAATTTTTAAAATTTAAAACAAAGGTATACTTAGATTTTCAGTTGCGTGGGGAGTTCTAAGTTTAACTCTGACTTCTCCAAAACTTAACCGCCAACAGCCTACTGTTGACTGGAGGCCTTATTGACAACAGGTAACACATATTTTGTATGTTATGTATATTACATACGGTATTTTTACAATAGTGTAAGCTGGAGAAAAAATGATAAGAAAATAATAAAAAATACATATTTATTGGTTAAGTGGAAATGAATCATCATAAAGGTGTTGACTTCATACTTGGTGTCTAAAAAACAAACATATAAAAGATATGCAGGGAGACCTTCATGATGATCCGCTTCCACTTAATAGTAAAGGTCTTCGTGTCACTAGCCCTCACATTGGACTAGGCTGTGTAGGAGAAAGGGCTGGTTTTGCTGTCTCAAGGGTGACAGAAGTGGAAGAAAATCCAGGCATAAGCGAACCCACAAAGTTGAAACTCATGTTGTTCGAGAGTCAACTGTAATTAGTCACTTGTATCAGGACTAAATATCCAACAAAAAAATGTTTTATGATTTTGAACAGAATCTGGGCTTTAGCTTTGGCCAGTTATAAAAAAGCCTGGAAAGAAAGAGGCTGAGGAGAGAGAAAGAGAGAAATGAAAAGAAAAAAGAAAATTATTTTCAGATGAAGAGAAGGTTAACAGGTTATGTGAGTTGAGGAAATTGTTAAGAATATTGTGCGATTTAAAAAGATATCTTAATTAAAAGGTTATAGATGTTTTCCAAAAAGTGAATTTTCAACTAAGTGACCAACCAATTGTCCACAGACCCTTCTACTAGTATCCAGGTTCAAAGCTGTAAAAAATTACAAGCACTTGTCTTTAGCTTTATCTGTGTAATGCAATGAGAGACTGACCAATCACCAATTTAGGTGTGTTTTGTCTCAAAGATTACCCGAATTTACAAAGAGATGATATCAATTCAAAGCCTTAAAACTGAACCTGTGGCATGGATGTTTTTTAACTTTTTTTTTTTTTTTTTGAGATAGGGTCTCTGTCACCTAGGCTGGAGTGCAGTGGCGTGATCACGGCTCAGTGCAGCCTCTACCACCCAGGCCCCAGTGATCCTCCCACCTCAAGCCTCCGGAGTAGCTGGGACCAACAGGCATATGCCACCACACCCAGTTAATCTAATTTTTTGTAAAGAGTCGCCCCCATATGTTGCCCATGCTGGTCTCGAACTCCCGGGCTCAAGCCATTCTCCCACCTTGGCTTCCCAAACTGCTGGGATTACAGGCGTGAGCCCCTGCGCCCCAGTATTTTATGTCTGACAGAAGAATTTCAGCTAGATATGAAAACATTAGTTTTTTGGGGTTTTTTTTCCCCCTGAGACAGGGTCTCACAATGTTGCCCAGGCTGAAGTGCAGTGGCACAATCATGGCTCACTGCAGCTTCAACTTCCCGTGCTTAGGTGATTCTTCCATCTCAGCCTCCAGCGCAGCTGGGACTACAGGTGTGTGTCACCATGCCCAGCTAATTTTTTTTTTTGTAGTAACGGGGTGCCCCTACGTTGCCCAGGCTGATCCTGAACTCCTAGGCTCAAGCTGTCCTCCTGCTTCGGCCTCCCAAACTGCTGGTATTACAGGTGTGAGTCACTGTGCCCAGCCTAAAAATCAGTTTCTATCATGACAGATGGTGTCATTTTATAAGGCAAAAAATCTGAATGTAATGGGATTTTACAACAAGAGAGTGCTATTTCCCTCACTGATTCATTCCCCTGTATAACACACATTGAAAATTCTTGTGTTCGGTTTTCTGAAGCATAATCCATGAACAGTACCATGAATATAACTGTTAAAATTGTTCAGTATGTACAAATGCTATCAACTGCCAGTTTAGAGAACTGTTAAAAGAAATAGCAGACAGTGAACGTAATGATGCTGTGTTTTTGCCACTGCTCCCTGGCTGAGTTGGAGAAGAGTCGTATAAAGGCTTACTGTACTATTAATTGCAACTGAAGATTTTCTTGAGGAACAAGATGATTGCCTGCCAACCATTTAATAACCAAAAACAAAAATGCCAATGTGATGTACATTTTTTCACCGTATCACACTTTGAGAACCACAGCTATTCAGACATTTATAAAAACAAAAACAAAAATTGCTGCCACAGGCAGTAACAAAAATAATGATGTGTAAACATCAGACAAATGTATATGTTTCCTTTTTTATTGAGACGGAGTCTCACTCTGTCGCCCAGGTTGGAATGCAGTGGTGTGATCTTGGCTCTACTAATATATATATTATTTTTTAGTAGAGATGGGGTTTTACCATGTTAGTCAGGTGGTTCTCAAACTCCTGACCTCAAGTGATCCACCTAGCTTGGCCTCCCAATTTGCTGGGATTACAGGCATGAGCCACCGCGCCTGGCCCATGTTTCCATGTATATGAAGCTGAAGAACAGGCAAAATAAACTCATAGTTATAAAGGGCATACTGGTCGTTATCCAGGAAAATGGGGGCTGTCCTGACTGTGTGAAAGCTGATCACACGAATTGGGTCACTCTTGTCATATCCAACTAAACAATCAAGAAGGGAAGAGGGAAAGGCACTCAGGACACATAAGTTTGCTCCTAGAATGGAATTCTCTGCCAGTCGGTATGCTGAAACTGCCGGTGGTAACCTGAGACCAGTCTGATCCACAGATGCTGAGGTAACTTGTTGCAATTCTAGGATTAATTTTGCCCGTCACCATGGCCCACTCCGTAGGACCTGCTGCCTCCCCAGAACCTTAGCAGAACCAACGAACTTTCTCAAAGAGCGACACATATAACAATTCTCTTTTTTTATAAAACCTCCAGCTTTCTCCTTGCTCTTTGGACATACAGAAGACCACCTGGAACTGCCACTCTTTCTTCCCAAATAAACTGGCAAATTTAGAGATTCATCTCCAAATTTTTATTTTGACTTCAACAACTGGGAAGATTAATACAGGGGGAGGATACATTTGGGCTGTACACTTAAGATTAGCGCACTTTTACTGGATATCTGTTATTCCTGAATAATTTGTAAAAACTTTTTCTAAGCAAATTGATTGTTTTTCAGTAGGACACCAATCTAAAAAAAAATGACTTTTTTTTTTCCTCAAAATCAACCACGTAACTTTGCTTAATTTCAATGACTTAGCAGAAAATCTTTTGAAAGCCAAATTCAGAAGAGAGACAGACTACAAGGTCATTTCATAATACGGAAAACTAGAAAAATTCCCTACTAGACTGACAAGTGCAAGGAGTCTAGAGATGCAGCACCCAGACATCTGCATCTCCCCCTCCAACTCCGACCAAAAACACCCTCTATACCTCCACTTCAATTTCATGACCGTGATCTTAAAAACATATTTAACGTCAGCATGAAGTATAAAAACAGTTTAACCAGAACCTGCTATTACTGATAGTGAAGTCTCGGTAAACGAAGCATTGATAATATGCCGAGATAGGATTAGTATGTGGATTCAGACTTCACAGATACCAAAATCTAAAGGACACGGGTGCACATGTATGTCAAACTCATTAAATGGAATGCATTTAAACATGTGCCATTTTTGTTGTATAGCAATTATACCTAAATAAAACTTTTTAAAAACATAACAAATTGAAAGCCTTGAAACCTCCAGAGAGCGCTATGTAAACATTCTTTAAAGCAAAAAAAACAAAACAAAAAAAATCTCTGCACGGTGAGGGAGGAGAGTGGATACAAACAGCAAATTCAAAGCCACTCTTAAGACCGTAAAAAGTTGGCTAGTTCGTTTGGGAAGCGATTTAGCAGTCCCCTAAAATACAACACGTCCTCGAAAGCCACGAATCCACACGAAGCTTCAAAAGAGAAGCCCTTGACAAAGCCGGGCCGGACCGGCCCTGAGGACAGCCAGCAACGCTACTTCACCACCCCGCTCCATGGGACTGCGGCGGCCGCGCTGCCCACAGGACCGCAAGTCCCGCCACAGCCAGGACAGACAGACAGACACCCCAGAGAGGCCGGCTTTCCCCGCTCTGCGAACAAAACAGCGCGAACCGGCGAAGCCACTGAACTGCCGTGAACCACAGTGCGCCCCAGCGCCCCGCTCCCTCCACGCCCCGCCGAGCCAACCCCGAGGGCCGAGCGGAGCCCTGCCAGCCCACCGCCGTCCCTCCCCGGCGCGGGGCCACGGACAAAGAGCTCCTCCGCTCCTTTCGCCCACAAATTACCGCTCCGTGAAGGCCGCGCCGCTCAGTAGCATGAACCGACGCCTGAATCTCCGCAGCATTTACAAATGAGCCGCCACAATCACCGCCTCCGCCGGAGCCCCGCCCCCGTGCCGAGGGCCTGTGGGAAGTGAGGCTCTCACCCGCGTCTCTGCGCTAGAGCACAGGCACCGCTGAGCCCAGGGAAACTACAACTCCCAGTGACGCCACAGCGATGGGCGTTGCCCGGCGGGGGACGGACGGCGCGCCGGCTTCCGACTAGCGGCGGGCCAGTGGTGGCGTAGGCGGGCGGCGCGGCGGGACGGAAAACCGTTTCCGGGAAACACCTTCCGTGGTGGACGTCGCTCCGGGCGCCGACGCTTAGAAAACTAAGGGGAGCGCCTAAGGGAGCGATGGATCTCCCTGTTCCCAGCAAAGCAGGGAGCACAGAGGCTCAAAGCTAACCTAGAGCCCGACGCTTTAGGAGGCGTTTTGGGGTTTTGTTTTGTTTTTTTCTATTTGCCTATGGTCTATTTTGTCGTTTTTTTTTGGTTTGGTTTTTTTCTTTGTTTTTCGCTTTGGCTGAGTGTGACTTAGTAAAGGAGAAAAGGGGCAGTCACTACACCATTTCGTAAGACGAAGATAACCCTGTAAGAATTCACTCCAAAATAGGCATCGCTCATCGCTCCTCAAATGGCTGATCGGTGGTTTGGCAGAGTGTGTCCATTAGATTCGGAAACTAGTTTGAATACTGACAGTGCAGAATTAAAGAAATTTGTTTTGTTTTGTTTTAACTGCCACGGCCCTTTCATCTAGGAAGTTAAAGCACGGTGAGTTACCGCAGTTCTACATACCTGGCTTCTGTGTCTGATTAAACAGCAGGGCCCAGTAAAATGTTTAAAGAAATCCAAAAAAAAAAAAAA